TTTGCCAAACTAGATAATACCAGCTTCTAGAAGTGCAATGACTGAATTACCAAATACATAAAATGTAAAAAAAAGCTATCGGCTCTCTTTTTTTACAATTTACCTCTGAAGTTCGAGAAGTGAAAATGAGCAAGTAGAGAATGAGCAAGTAGAGCTAGCACTTTTTTGAAAGGTGCACATCTGCAGTAAGGTCAAGCTGTATACTCTCTAACCCATATTACACCCATCAATCATACATCAAAATAAAGGAAATTAAAGGTTCTTTGAACAATACCTAAGATATACAAAGTCTCTTTTAAAACACCAGTCTAACTAGTGAGGAAACCCGGGGAAACTCTTTTTCTTTAAAATTTTAACCCTATGCTAAATACGAAACTGTAGAGCGCCACCTTAAAGAAAAACGAACCGTTTTATTCAATGTAAAATGTGTAGAAAACTCCAGAATTTACAAAGTTTTTTAGCACTCGTTTAATGGATGAATTCTTATTTCTTTTCCTATAAGGATGACTTTCCAAAAGCTTGCCATATGTAACCTCTTTACCATGAAAACAATAATAATCCGTACCGCGAGTTTGCTTTGTTCCTTCTGATTCTGCAACAAGTGGTCAGTTTGTTGAAGATGGCTCGAAGTTTCAGTAGATTTTAGTATGCTTGGCGATAATTTTGATATAATTTGATTTGTAAATATCTTAGCAGTATCTCCAAGTATCTTCAATACATTTTAAGCTGATATAACGAATTGATTACTTGCCATGTTGAAAAGGATGGTTTCTCTGATTATGCTACACTCGTGCGACCGGCATTAAACAGTTTTTTGGTGCATCTGTATAATTAGAATCCATATTCATTACTTGCTTTATAAATTAACATCGTTGTTTTATGTGATTTTTTAAACAATTTTTTGTTTGTTTGTTTGGGTTTCTTTTCTTTTTTTTTTTGTTTTTTGGATATGACATAATGACGATTCAACTAGTTGTATCAGCGTACAGTTAGAATATATTTAAATTCCTTTAATTTAATCATCCAGTACACCAATTAGAGTTGGAGTTTTTTTTATAGAAGCATTTAAAGTTGATGGAATTAACAATAATGCTTATACTGGGGTCAATTCGACTGGAGAGGGGTCAACAATCGGGGAAGCAATATCACACGCCAACGTGTGCCGAATCACCCTATCAGACCACTTATATATGAACACCTTTAATCAGAGACCTAATATCTGTTTCTGGTTTTATCCGATACTAAATAAACCAACAACTATTTTCTTCCCGCAATATTTTCTTTTTAACTACACAACCTTTTAGGCAAAGTCGGTGTCAATATCAAGTGAACTTCCTTTTCTTTATAAACAAGACTTGTAACCAATAATTGAGTTCCCGAAAGCCACCTAATTTAATATTTTCCTCTTCCAACACATTCGGACCAATCATCTGTAGGTTTTTGTTTCAGTTGGGTTTAAAGTAACACTTAAATGAACAAATCGAAAATGGTTTGCTTTGAGGTTAAACACCCTTGTCGTGTGAAACCGAAATTGTGGTGATATAACGGAGGTTAATGTCTCAAACTTCGAGTATGATTAGAAGACAACAAACGATATATTTAAATCAAGCAGGTACGCAAATTTATTTCTAGCAAAAAGTAATGAAACAAAGCCTAAAGTATTATTTTTGTTAGCAGGAGAAGAAAATAGCATTAGTTAAACTACAATTACATATAAGGTCAAAAACAGTCCAATAACATGATAATTTTATCCATTCATGGTTTAGTCTTTATTACTTCATTTACTTATCAATAATAATAATAATAATAATAATAATAATAATAATAATAATAATAATAATAATAATAATAATAATAATTTCAGCAACAATGCATTCAAGTAACAAAAATCGTGCACAATCTACTTAATCCAAACGAATAGTTTCAGCCTTGCAAACCTAATATTAAAACAAGGTGAGATTATGCCAACTTTAATTTTCTGTGTAATTGATACATTTATTGCGCAAACAAGACGAAACTATACCAACATTAATTTTCTGTGTAATTGTTACATTTATTTTGCAAACATGGCTACACTATGTAAAGTACGATAGTTTGTGTAATGGAAAAATTTATTATGAAAACAGCGTTTAGCTCAGTTTGACAAAGCTAAGTCCGATCACAGACGATTCCAATGCATTGGAATTACTGATAATGAATATCATTTATTTAAAAAGTTAAATGTTAATTACACTAATGTTCAAATAAAATATGAGAATTAAAATGTAATGTTTTTGTTTTGTTGTGGGTGGGGTTGCCGCGGCTTTCTTTTGTTTTAGCTTCTTTTTTTCGTCTTCAAATGGTCTGAGAAATATTAAGAACCGCAAACATAGAGATAAGTGTATGGAAATCCGGAATGATGTCACTTATTGTTATCTATTATAGGTCTTGGGGATGCGTTGAGTGGTGGAAATCTGTGAGGAAACGCGCAAACAGAAAGGCCGAAGTACCTGGATTTAAAAACACACAGACACCTACAGATGTGTATTATTCAATCAAAAAACGTGGTATTTCGGTTTCAATTAAGTTCATTTCATTCCTATAATCAAATATTTTCTTCCGATTGTAAACTGTTTAGATATATTTGTCTGACATCAAATGATTGTCAGAAACGATGTTGATGTTTTATTCAACCAAATTTTAAATACGTGTTTATTCCATGGCATGTCTATATTCCTTATTGTTCTAAGAATGGCTAGATACCTAAAGCTTTATAAGTGCTTTCCTTCATTCTATCCATTTTGAGAATAATATACATATTCAACTTAGATTTATGGAATCGATTTTATGCTTAATATAGAAAGTCCATAAAGCAACATTGAATTGCATGTATGTTATTTAATTTACATATTTTAAAATATTGCTTTAACATTTTGGCAACTTGTAAGATTTTTATTTGTTCTTTTGTTATTCTGAAAAATTGTTATCAAAGAAAACGTTGTCCTTTAATTCGCCCATTTTTAATTTCTTGATAAATTTATTCGGTAATTGTTAATCATTTTGTTTTGAATAGATCCTTTAAATTTTGATCATAAAGGGAAAGATAAAATAGCACTTTGTCTCTTGATATATACACAGGCAATGCATAAAGATAGAGCACGCATAATTTTACACATTAAAGATTAAGTATTAGGAATAAAAGCATTGTTGTATATTTTAACTTTTTAATTTATAAGTTTTTCAATCTTAGAAAGATTAACTTGGATCTTATGAGATCAATTTCCGATCTTGATTTAATAATATATTTTCTAGATTCTTTTTTGGTGCAGCTTAAAAAATAAGGATACAGGCTTTGATTTGTTCACTATTAATTTATGACTAATGATCAAACAACCTTGATCTATGACACTGACTTTCGATCTTGATCTAGTCAGTTTTGGCCCGCGTGTTCGAGACACCCAGGGCAATGTTTTTAAGTATGCCCTAAATGAGGCCCTGGCGTGAGGAGCAATGTTTTTTGGTGGTGCCCTAAATGAGGCCCTGGCGTGAGGGGCAATGTTTTTTAGTATGCCCTAATTGAGGCCCTGGCGTGAGGAGCAATGTTTTTTGGTGGTGCCCTAAATGAGGCCCTGGCGTGAGGGGCAATGCTTTTTGGTGGTGTCCTAAATGAGGCCCTGGCGTGAGGGGCAATGTTTTTTGGTGGTGCCCCAACATTGCTAGTGAGAAAAGTTTCTTTAAATATCAGCTGCCAACGTCCCTCCCCACCCCACCACTCGTAAAACAGTTTGTCAACAATTGCTGCTAGTTACCTTTAGGCGAAGGTGAAATAGTATGAAAATTTCAGTTGTAAACATAAAGGTTCTTCACGGCGCCACCTTTGCCAGGTGCTCGCAGACAAATGCCCATACCAACCATAACCCCCATCGCTCCTCCACTTGGTCGAGTATTTGCAAGAGGTTACAGAGTTATATTTACTTACATCAAACAACTTCGTGTAATTCCTTTAATTAATGATATTCTGGTACGGATATAGTTGAACATGGCCCTATGGGAATTTAACATATCGGTGAGAAAGGCTCTCAGTGGGAATTGTAACATCAAGGATGTTTCTTTGGCTCTCCATGAAAATTGAAACGATGGTCTGGCATAGCAATTTATAGAAATTTAACATGGATGAACTAACACAGGGAGAGACGAGCAAAGACTCTTCTAATTACTATCACCACTCACTTTCACAAACCAAAACATGCATTACAATCCAACAAGCACGATAGGCAATACAAGGCAGCCAATATAAATAGTGGAGGAAGAACCAGGGAAAACCTCAGAAAGAACGACATATCACCATTGTCCTAACCCTAGACTCAAACCCACGCAGGCAGAGGTGAGATGGCAGTGAGCATTACCGTTAAGCGATTTAGACTAGTCGGCCACTCGAAGTCCCTTTTACACACTATTGTGTGCACGTGGTATAATATTGGCTACTGACTAACACAGGCTCGCACTTACAAAGATTAACACTAGCAAACTAATGTATAGGGAGGTGTGGAGGATGGAGTGGGGATGGTGAGGTGAAGAGGTGGAGGCGATTTAGATTTTTAACATAACTTTAACAATTTTAGTCATATCGCTCAGATCTCTGCTTTGTGCAGTTTATAGTGATGTATGTTATTATGGCATCATGCCGCAAGCCGCAGGCATGTAGTAGTATGTCCCACCCAATCACATTATCCTGATACCATGACGACCAGTCCTAACACTAACCTTCTAATGCAGCTATATACCATTTTATAGGTCTTTGGTATGACTAGGCGGTGGTTCTAGTATTCCTAAGCGGTTCTACAAGGAGGGAAGGGGTTACTATCATTTCTTGGATACTTAATAATAAACACCCAGACTCACAAACTCATTCTTGTAGTAGAGCACATCATCACGCTTGTATTATTTTCTTTGTAGTAAGCATTTCGAGAAAAAGTAGCTAAGTTGACGTATATCATCCCTTCCATTCTTGATTTTGCACCGCTCCTGTGGCCTAGTGGTTAGAGTGTCCGCCTTGGATGCATGATGTCGTTTGTTCGAACCCGGCTGAGTCATACCAAAGACTTTAAAAAATAGTATTAACATCTGCCTTACTAGGTGCTCAGCATTAGAAGCCTAGTGTTAGTGCTGGTCGGCCTGGTGTTAGAATAATGTGACTCGTTGGGACATGATGCTTCATGTCTGTGGCATGATGCCCCCCAGTTCTAGACATCATTATAAACCGACACACTGCACACATCGTAGGGATATGACTGAAAAATTGTTAAAGCTACAATAAAAATCAAAATCACACACACAGACTCACACACACATACACACACGCAAAACACATTCTTTGTTTTTGTGCTCGACAGCAGCCGTATAAGGTGTAAACGGAAAGTTGCAGACCTTTCTTGTATTCTATCTGATACACATTATCCAACGGCTTACTGATAAATTTGTTAAACAGGAAATATGCAAAAGTTTCCTGAAATTAACAAGCCATAACATACAGACTAGGTTCCTTAGAATGCTGTTTTTCTTCATGTTGATGGTGTACATCCTCCTCCTCCTCATCCTTTTCATCAACATATTTTGATACCAATTGATATATGTAATAAATTACATTAGCAAATAATAACAAATATCTAAAAGTCTGACTGGAAAATTGAGTTTGCTCTTGGGAAAATAAAGCTTATCCCAAAATTGGTTATATAAAATATAGTTTTAAATAGATCTGTTTGAGAGAGAGAGAGAGAGAGAGAGAGAGAGAGAGAGAGAGAGAGAGAGAGAGAGAGAGAGAGAGAGAGAGAGAGAGAGAAAATGTTGTATATCCTCAGTTCCTCGTTGCCTGGCTATATGGCCATATAGCCAGACACTGAGGAGACGCATAAAATTGCTCAGACGATGATACATTCCAAAAAGGGTCTGAAGAGTTACCTAAACATTTGATTTACTGATGCTACGACAAGGACATGATTGAGCAGGCAACACAACAGGCAAAATAAACAAACCGCAATGATCTACTACTAAAATAGGGAAAGAAGGAAAAGGCTGATAGGATAGAACGGTTTGATAAAAACTCATTAAAAGTCGAAAGCGCTCAGGGTAGTAACATACTTGTTTTGCGCTGTTCATTGTCAGTTTATTGTATTTATCTTAATCCCTGACAAAGGTAATATATATATATATATATATATATATATATATATATATATATATATATATATATATATATATATATATCAGACAATAGGCGTAGTAACTGCGTCATTGTTAAAGTATCGCTTGAAGTAAAATGAATAGATTTGGCAAAGTAGATGTGGTTTGCTTGGTGGTAGTGTTGATACCACTAGTCTTAGTAGTTTGTATAAACAATATTTCTTTGCCGAAATCTTCATGAACACTACATAAAAATTAAAACAAGAGGCATAGATGACTGAACAACATAACTAAGCTTATTTCGAACTTAGTCATACTCTTAACATACATGGTGTACATTACTTCAGTAAGGAAGGCAGAGAATTCAAAATATTCATACAAGTTATTAATATATTCAAACGTTACTAAAAGAATAAATATGAGAATAATAGGTAAATGACTTTTTACTTCAGACCAGCTAGTGTATATGTGTATCAATCCTATGTCAACCTGAAAAAGATGGCAACAAACACATCAACAGCCATGCTATAGCCGGCGTTGCGCGGAGATTGCGCAGTCGCCAGGACTGGTGCTGAAACACACATCGAAACCGACGCTAGGGGAAAAGACAATCAGCTGCACTCGTTTGGAGCTCAGTCTAGAGTTAATGTGGCAGGAATATATGTAACAGCCTGCATACAAGGTCTCGATAACAAAATTAAGATTGATACTGGAGCGACTGTTTCACTGGTATCTGACAAATTAAATTGACAAATCCCTACCCAAAATTGGCCTCAACTCAGTAAATCTAATCAGGATACTGTTTATGAAGAAGGTGAACGAAAGAAGCAGTGACTCAACAAGCTAATATATTTCTTTTTTTCTAACAGTTGAAGGCATCTGTTTGGATCTGTAAAACATTTCGTCATGGGCGTGACGCAATATGGGGTTGAGCTAGGTTTCCCCACGAGACATTCCCTTTGGCAAAAATAAGTAAAACCAGTGAACTCGACGTTTTTGAATTTGATTTCCACCATTTATCGGATCAATCACTTAATTGTGTCTTTCTTATTTTCTTTGTCACATTACGTTATCCCGAGGAAAGGTTTGTTTTTGATCAGTCATGTTGATACTGTTCTGCGATAGAAGTCAGCCTAATTTTGTAATGCTTTTTAACAAATGGTATTCATGTTCTTGAGCATTTAACAATTTCACACATTCACTTTTCTGTCGAAGAACGCTCTTCGGGGTCTTGACGGTGGTATTCAAGTTGATTGCAGATTTCAGCAGACGTGCGACGTATTTGAAACATTAGCTTCTGTAGGCGAATCGAGGAACAGTTTCGGGTTTCTTTTCTTGTCCGCCCACTCACTTACGGTATACTATAATTTCATATGTTTGTATTGTCATTATACATATAGACCGCTCAGTGTACCCACAGGGTTGTAAACTTAGTATGGTTGTACGAGTGAGTGTTAGTTATCAAACTGTATCTTACAACCTACACGTTTTAGTAATAGCAAGTATTGGATTGCACCGGCATATCCTTTTCTGTATAAATAACCAAAGTGGTTAGTAGGAGCCATAGGGCGACACGTTAACAACTATGTTAAAATTGGTATATCGAAGATAGCAACCAGATTTATAGCGATAATGGAGTGGGCCTGTTTAGCGACAAAGGGGAATGGATAGGGGTGATGTCACGGTACTGAACACTGGTAACAATGTTGCTAGTGGCTGACCTGAATTGGGTGGAACATTGTCAACAATATGGCAAGAGTCTGAACTTAATACGTGTTACTCTAGGTAGGGACAAATACGATAGAGACACATACATACATACATATATATATATATATATATATATATATATATATATATATATATATATATATATATATATATATATGTGTGTGTGTGTGTGTGTGTGTGTGTGTGTGTGTGTGTGTGTGTGAACATGTATAGAGATATACATATACAAACATAAATTGATGAACATCAATCTGTAACACGAAAAATTGACAGAAAGATTCTTTTAGGCAAGAGAGTAAATCTTTTCGAGACAATGGAGTGGTCCTGAAAAGAGCCTCTGGGTTTCTTCTTCTTTTTCTAATTTCTTCTTTTCCTCATATCAGCATATCATTTTCTCCACTACATTCTTGTTCTTCTTTTTCTTCCCATCCTTTTAATTCTCCTCTTTCTCCTCCTCCTCTTTTTTCCTCTTCTGGTTCTTCTCTTTTTAATTTTCTTATTCCATCTTTTCATTTGTTCTTTATCTTCTTCATCTCATCCTCCTTCTTCCTCTTTTCCTGTTGGATTAGGGCTTTCAGTCTTTCCTTGGCCTTCAAATTATTCATTTCCATCATGAGTTTGTACAGGCTATAGGCACTATACTTTAATCTCTTGCAATGTCATCATTTTGTTCAAATGCTTGTTTTCCATTTTTTATTATTCAATGTTGAATGGCGCGAATCCTGTTTTTGTTGAATTATACTGGCCTGCCCACGCGAGTACATGTACCATTTGTTAATTCCGGCACCGCATGATGTTAAATTTCCTTGAGGAACGGAACTGAGCCACATTCCACATGTGTTACATGTGCGTTAATTTTGCCGTCAGGTAGCAGAACAATAAGTGCCACAGCTACCTAGTTGTTAGGCCTACATGAGTGGGGATAGTCCCAGCACACACTCATATTATTCAGTGTAGCTCAAGCATAGAGTGAGTGGGAGTTGTGCTATCACTCACTCACGGTTTGGTTGTTAGTCGAGTCTTAGTTGGGTGCAAGTATTGTTTCCTTATTTATGGTAGATGGTGGAGAGGTCCTGAAAAAGGAAAAGGGGACTCCAAGCCACGGCAAGGCATCCATGGCTGTCCCAAGGGTGTTGGTCCACTTGTCTATCAAAATTATTTGTTTTGGAACTCGGTGCTGGGGGGGGGTGTTACTTTAGAGGTAAGAAGTATTAAATAGAGAACCTTGTGTGACAGTCAGTTCGTTACCCGTATTTTGTCACCTTGTGTGACTGGCCCTGATGGTTCTGGACTCAGACCATATTGTATGCGATAATTTTGGGGTATTATTCTGTGTGCCTTTTTAGGGGCTGTTTGGTCCATGATTTTGGCCTTAATTGTTCTCCTGACGTAGATTAATTTTTGCCTCCTTTTGCAGCGAAGCCTGATGTTCGTTGGATTTTTGACCAACTTATATTGTCTATTTGGGGCCAGCATCATTGGTAGGATGCCATTAAGATCCTCAATTTCCATAGGTTTGAATGGGTCCATGAATGTGACAGATGTGACAGTGTATCATGACATACAAGTTTGCTTGCTATGTTATACATCGTGGTTAAATTGGGTGTTTTTTGCTGTTTAGTTTTGTAACGGTTATTTGTCTAAACTCTTGTCTATTTGTCAAGAGTTGTCCTGTCATTGCTTGAGATTCAGATATTGCTATCTGAAGGCTGGATAGGGTATGGTGGGCGGCTATATTTTTGACCTTGTTTATTTTCCTAACTTTGTTTCTCCTGTCGTTCATTGCCAATTTCTTTTTTCTCCATTGTTTTTGTTTGTTATCCATTTCTACCAGTATTAGATTTTCTACCTGAATATTTATTTTATTAACTCCTTTGATTACTGTAAAATACTTGGTTTTAAACTAGTGGAAATATTCTGCTATTTTCAGTTAGTAAGATGATTGTGGTAAGATAGTGAGAGTTGTTAATATAGTAAGAAAATTCTCTTTATCGGAAAGTCTAGACAGTAGTTTTCAAAAGCTTGAAACTTTGTTAGGATTCCAGCCAGAATTTGACTAGTATGATTCCAAGTACCTGTTGGTGTTTAGAATATTTTAGTAAGGTTTAGATAGTAAAGTTACAGAAAGTTTAGCACCTTTCTTCTCCTTTTGCCGAGAATCTCACAAGTCACTAGAGTTTGT